GGATCACCGGACTTCGGTTACACCTGAAGCTCTTCTGACGGTTCTCGCTCCCCATCGAGCCCTTCTTGCCGCTCGGCTCTTCCTGTTTGTCGGCACAAAGAGCTCCGTGCCAGCCCTCCAGCGAGATAGGAACGAGTGTATCGCTTTGACGGATCGACCGTGCTTGTTATCAAAACCGATCTCACGTGCACAGTTACACTCCAGACGTTCTGTACTCTCCTATCCGGCAACCGGCGAGACGCTGCCGTGAGCCAGCCGCTCTTGCGGCAGCCGCCAGCGGAGGCCGAGCGCGTCGCGTATCGATCGAGCTCGCGATCCGGGCCGTGGAGCCCACGAGGAAGACTTCGTCTGCTGGGACGGAGTCCCGACGCTCGCTGCGTCCGCCGGAACTGGGGTCTGCACACCTTTCGTGGCCGCGTCCCGCAGTGGTTTCTTCTTCGATTTCGTTCGAGTGTGGCGGCCGAAACCCAGGGATCCTAAGCAGCTGGCGCGCCTCGCCGTCGCTGTGCGCGGCCCCGATGGGCCCCTCGGCGCCGACCGCCGAGACGACGCAGCCCTACCCCGTCTCCGCCATCTCGGTGCCCGAGGAGCCGGTGGAGCTCGGCCAGGAGACCGCCGGCAGCGCGGACGGCTCTGCCAGCGCGAGCCTGACGCCGCCCGATGCGGAGCCGTCTGCCGAGACGACGCAGGTCGCCTCCATCATGCGGAGCATGTCGTGGGGCTCCTCGCTCCACCAGGCGGGCGGCCTCGTCGAGCCGCCGCGGCCGTCCGAGGCTGGCCAGCCGGCGGGCCAGCACAGCCTCGTCAGCGAGCTGCACGCTCGAGCGGCGGCACAGGCGGCGGCGGCGATCGGCCTCTCGCCGTCGGCGGCGATGGCGGCGTCGCACATGCTGCCCGACATGCAGTCGACCGCGCAGGCCGCGCTCACCATCTCCTCCATGGCGCCGGTGCAGCTGGTGGCGGCCGAGGTGGCAGCGGGCAAGGCGGCCGAGTCGCAGCTGCTGGTGCTGGACGACGGCGGGGTGCTGCCGGGCGAGGAGGGGGGGGAGCCGGCGGCGGGCGAGCAGGCCTTCACCTGCACCGTCTGCCGCAAGGTCTTCAAGCGCGAGATGAACCTCATATTCCACATGACCACCCACCGGTGCGGGCTCGCCGCGCCCCTCCCCCCCCACGGAACGGTGTCATCGACGCCGGCGAGCCCGCCGGCGATTAAGGCATAGATGTGACCCAGCGTGTTTCAGTGCGCCCATACCCGTTGCCGCATGAGTGTCGCATCGCATAGCATGAGAATTTATTGAGCGAGATGTCGCCGATCTGCCATGGTTGTCACACTCTGTACTGATTGCCATGTCGTCCCGAGCGAAGCTCTCTTGTTTTATTCTGGAAAACACCTCACAGGAGGATGAGCGAGCACGCGGCGGCCGCGTCTCCGGACTCCGCGCGCTCCCGCTCGGCTACGTCAGGGTAGGACGTCCTCTTCGCGCGCTCGAGGACGCGTTTCACAGCCGAGCGACAGCAGCAGGTGTAGTGTAGCCCCCCTCCCGCCTGTGGCCGTGCAGCCTGCTGCTGCTCCC